TTGTGGAAAAGAAAAGCTCGATGATGGGCTATATATAGGACGAAGCTCAATGCTTGAATAAATATATTCTATCTACTCTCTTCCTCGCTATAAACACAAATGGGGCAGCCCAGCACATGTACTTGGGTTGACAAGAATAAGACAAACAGAGACACAGACCTAACATTCATACTTTTTTTTTTCTTTTTTTTCTTTTTTCTTTTTGGTTCTTTAGATCCAGTTGCACATTCCAAAGAAAGAAAACCTCAGGCATGCAATGCAAGCTCTTTTCCCTTGTTTTCCTCTGTTTTTCTCCTATTATAGAAGTGATTAAAACACACCTCTAAGCTTGTTTTGCATTTGGTAGCCGACTGTGTAAAAGCTCAATGCAGATAGTTTGAGGTAGAATTTTCTCCTATTTTACTGGCACAATGATGAGCTATATGTAACAGCAAATGGACTGCATTTGTAGTTGCAGGCCCCAATTCATTTAAGAGGGCCGATGCCCTTTTTCTTTTTCTTTTTTATGAAGAAGGGCCGATGGTCTTTAATTTGGTGAAAGCTTCTATCTACCTACCCTGTTATATGAGCTATGCAATAGCGATGGTTTTACATGACGTCACAATGTCGTAGGGAAAAAAAATAATACAAATTTATAAATAAACCCAATCCTAGATATGTATTTATAAAAAAACTCAAGCACTATTTAAACATAGAAACACACCCAAAATCAACCCCAAAGTCAACTTTTTTGGTGTGTTTATAAATGGATTTTGAATGTGTGTAATGATGGGTTTTGGGTGTGTTTATATATTTAAATAGTGCTTGGATTTTTTTATAATTTCAACCCCCATTTTGGGTGTTTTAGTGAAACTCCCAAAAAATAATAGTCAAGGTCTCTTATTATAATGGTAGAGTCCCGTTCTCCAAGACCCCTTTAGTCCAAGAAAATTATAGTCAACCACCCTCAGATTAGATCTAAGGGACCACCATCATCCGATTGAATAAAGCAGAACTTTCCACCACCACGTGATCAACTTCCACCATCTCCTTCATACAATGGAGACGATCAACCTCCATCTCCACCTTTAGAAAATTCTAAATAAAATCTCCATTTTTTAAAAAATTTAGCCGGATATGGGCGCAAGTCCTCACCTAATTAAGCACAACGTGTTAGCTGTTAGTATGACATCTATTATCTGTCTATATATAAAGACAGAAGCAGCAAATACTGAAACATCCAAAAATCCTGAAAATGTTCATACTTAAACAAAAATATTAGAAAACCACAATCTAATATAATGAGAGTATAATAGTAAAAAAATAATTTGCTATATTCTCTCTCTCTCTCTCTCTCTCTCTCTCTCTCTCTCCATGGATAACATTCATATGAAACGATAAAAACACATAATACATGCACCGAAAATCTACTTAAGATATACATATTATTAAATAACATTTTAATAAGACATTTATAACCGTTAATACACCAAAAACATAGAATAGATAAGTACATGACAAGATATATCTTATATGCATGAACTCTCATATGTGCATACACACATATATTGAATGTGATTCATGCATAACATTCATATGAAACGACATTCCATATATATACATACACATTTTGGCCAAAAATAGAAAAAGATATATACATATTATAGATATATGTATTTCTATATAAGATTGGATTCTATATATAGGGTCGTACCTTTCCATATAAGATTACATTCTATATCTAGGGTCGAAACCCATTACAATCTTTCTCTCTCATCTCCATGTGTATAACTATATATGTATATATACATTCCAGTCAACACAGGCAAAACAACCAGTCTCTTTGAGTCTTGATCTTTTCTCAGTCTTACGTTGCTGCTGTTTCTTTCTCCTAAGACAATTGCTAATGGGTGCTCTCGCAGAATCCTATAAAGACACCCTTCTCGAACCCCAACACATCCCCCTTGACTATGGTTCTGTCCATACATTACCCGACTCCCATGTATGGCTTGATGAGTCCGACGAATCTCCATCTGGGGTCCACACCACTGGCCCGCCCGTTATCGACCTCGCGGATCCAGATGCTGCCAGGCTCATAATCCAGGCATGTGAGACATGGGGTGTGTTTCAACTGATAGGCCATGGCATTCCCACCAAGCTTATGGAGGATGTGCAGTCTGAGGCTGAAAAATTGTTTGATCTACCAGTTGACCAAAAGATGAAGGCCTTAAGATCTCCAGGGGGGAGCCAATCAGGATATGGTCTCCCTCCTATATCGCCATTTTTTGAAAAGCTTATGTGGCACGAAGGGTATCATATCATGGGGTCTCCGATCGAACATGCTAAGCTGCTTTGGCCCAATGACTATCAAGGGTTTTGGTAAGTCCTCCATGCATTTCCATGCACGTAGACAAAATGAAAATTATTCCAATTATAGTTTCTTCCATATGTGTATATTTCGTTTGGGATTTGCGAGGGTAATAGTTTACTTTTCGCCCTCTGGAATTTGGACTAATGCCTTGACCACTGTTTAGTGAACTTATTAAATTGCATAACAGTTCAATATAGTGTCTTATAAGTCTAATCTAGAGGGGTGAGACTCATAAGAACCAGCTTAAACTTATAATTTTTATGTAGTTCAAATGGAGTTATCAAATAAAATCTTCACGGTTATGTATATATGTTTGTATAGAAATGATTGCCTATATATTTTAGTTCAACAATGTAATTATTATACTTAATTAAATTATGACTTGCATAAATTTTTATGTTTTTTTTTTTTGGCAGTGGCACAATGGTTCATTATCGGAGCCAATTGAAAGCATTAACCGAGCAGCTAATCCGCATTATCTTCAAATCCTTGAACATTAATCCTGAAGAAGTGGCTTGGCTTAAGGACACTGAAGGATTAAGTATTGGTCTTCAGTTAAACTGTTACCCCCCCTGCCCTGACCCAACCCGAGCCATGGGCATAGCACCCCACACAGACACATCCCTAATAACCATTCTCCAGCAATCCAAAGTCAGCGGCCTCCAAGTCTTCAAAGAGGGAGCCGGGTGGGTCCTTGTGCAACCCGTACCCGGTGCCATCACAGTTAACCTCGGTGACATTTTCCACATCCTCTCCAACGGGGTGTTTACAACTGTCCGTCATCGTGTGGTGGCCACCCCGATCCGACGGCTCTCCTTTGCCTATTTTTATGCTCCTCCAGGTGATTTTATAGTCTCCCCAGTTTTGTCCAAGGATTTTGGGGAAGTGCCTAGGTATCAAACTCTGTCAGTGAAGGAGTATGTTGGAATCAAGGGCAAGCATTTCGAGAAGGCGCTTTCTGTTATTCAAAATTAAATGGGATTTTTCCCTATATATTTTATGGTGAATCTAAGTTAATTAAATAATGAGGTCAAACACACAGATGGTTTTTGTAATTTTTATTTTATTTTATGGTTTTTTTTTTCTGAAAGGTTTATTTTATGAGTATTAATCCTTGGCCAGAGATGTGTTATTGTTATGAGTTTTTTCTTCTTCTTGTTTTTTGTTTTTTGTTTTTATAGCCAGGAGAGTCTAAAATTTAGACAAAAAATAATAATTCACATAAAGAAATTCAAACTTAGATACAAAGAAACGGGAGCTTACTATCCTGTCGAACCTAACTCACTCCTGTTATTGTTAGCAAAGATGTTGTGCATGCATGTTCTTTTTATTTTTTAACTTCTCGAAGACTCTATATATTAATGATTGGACCGCATGCAATAAAAGTATATAAAGGGGAAGAGAAACGTTCTTTTGATTTTAATCAGCATTTTGTGTATTAATAAAGTACAGTCAATCAAGCATGAGGAGCCAATCATATGATGACACATTATTACCTTATTGTTATCCTACAATCACAGTTGCGTAGGTCTGATTTGTTGTTTTTATTATTTTATTTGTTGTTGTGTAGGTTGAGTATAAGATGATAGTTGTGCAAAATTTCTTCTTCGGCTCATAATAAGTCCAAGGAAAAGCCTCATACAATAAGCAGAAAAGCTCTCTGTCCACACATATAAATTGTGTACAAAAGACATGCCATGCGAAACATATTCATGTTTTCTCAACTACATAATGTGATAATTATATGCCAATATATCAACGCATCATCATATTTATGTTTAGTGATACTTGTTAAGAAGTCTTGAGTTCAAATCTCGGTTGAATAAATAAATAAAATTCCACATTTTTATCTTGCAAAATAGGATTTCCAATTTCCCAATTCACATGTCCCCTCCTATATTTGTTTTCTTCGCAGGGTTCAATGGCCGTCCACAATGGGGATCCAAAAGAGGGTACAAGGATCGAATGAGACGACTTGAGACGACTTGAGACGACTTAATTTTTTATCTTTTGGATTTTTTTGTTAATTAATTTAGAGTAATGCTAGCAACCTTCTCTCTAACCTTCTCCTTTGGACCTTCTCCATGTTTTACTTGACATGTGTCATTCTCCTTACACTTAAAACAATGTCATTAATATATTATACAAACTAACTTTTGCTTTCCAAGTTTACCCTTATTAAATGTATTCAATTTATCCAAACAAATTTCACAACTTTCTTACCATCATATTAATTTTTTTTAACGTCAATTATTTTTTTTAAAGAAAATTTTTGCTTTTAAAAAAAAGAGGAAATGTCCTTTTTTAAAAATAAATAAATAAATTCTAATTCTAAACTTGACGTTAAAAAAAAAAGGGACATTTCCTCTTTTTTTAAAAACCAGACATTTTCTTAAATAAAATATATATATATATGGTAAGAAAGTTGTGAATTTTTTGGGGATAAATTGAATACAATTAATAAGGGTAGACTTGGAAAGCAAAAGTTAGCTTGTATAATATATTAATGACATTGTTTTAAGTGTAAGGAGAATGATACATGTCAAGCTAAAAAGAAAGAAGGTCCAAAAGAGAAGGTTAGAGAGAAGGTTGCTAGCATTCCCCATTAACTTAACGTGTGAAGATTCATGAACAAAACTAACCTGGTAGATAAGGCACAACTAAGGCGACGCAATTAATTAATTAATTAATGTATCCTAATCAGAAAGGAGTAGGTATTGTATGTAGATCGATAGAAACAAAAAAAACAAAAAAAAAGTCATTGTTTGCTTCGTTGCCTTTGTGTGAAAAGAGATACGCCAGAGAACAAGACATCGCTCACATCATTCACATCCAGTATGGAAAAGATGAGTTGAATTTCTACATCAAGCTGATTAAGCTGATATTTCTATTCATTATTTGTATCTTGGTACGTTATCCTTCATTTCAAATGAATGAGTAAAGCATTCAACCGATGAGCGACGGCATGAAGTTGGCTTAACAACTCGACTTCACATGCTGCGGAGATGTTCTAAGAGGCACTTCTTCTGAGTACCTCATTCTTTGTACATTCCTCCTGCATATTTAAAGTACTAATTCAGTAATTTCGAGGGAATCAGTAAACTGAGAGTTGGTTATAGATAGTTTGGCAAGAGCCAGGACAATTACTATCAATTCTTGCCAAACTGCTAACCAACACTCTTACATCTCTGTGAAGTAGTGGACAATGATATTGACCACGCTAGGAAAATATAAATTTCTAGGTACCGCAGCATTTGGACCACCCAGAAAGGGATGGAAAAACAGTTGATGGTTTTCTAACATTAGACATTTTCTTAAGTAGCAGCACTTCCTAAATAATTATTCATTAATACAAGAATATGATAGACAAGAACAGAAGTTCTAACTGAAGGCTCCAGTGTCCCAAACACTAAATATTAATTGTGATGTCATGATTACAGTGCTTACCTGGAAAGCTTTTAAGAGAGAATAACAGTGCCTTTGCTCTGCAGTTGCTGCAACATGCTTCGCCTTCAGAGCATCACAAACTTTTTGCTCTTCTTTAAGTCCAAGTTGTACCTTTAGTAGCTTCTGTAAAATGGATTCAGCAGTAAAATTTAGGAATAACTAGAAGCATTTGTGAAAAAGTATGTACACAAGTTGAAAACGAGTTGAGGCTAATGAGGCAAATCAAATACTCAGTCATGTGGAAGTTTAAGTTGAGTTTGATTGAAGTAGCAGACAATACTGGGATATACAATTGTTGGGCACGAATGTGTAAGCGCATACTAAATTCATTTACTCCTCAATATGCTGGACACAGAACTCGGTTGAATTATATTAGTTTTATCTTATTTGTATCTCAAATAACTCAATACGGGGTTTGGCCTGTTACAGTTACAGGTGGTATTTTTAGCACATGAATTATATTTTATTTCTCTCTTCACTTAGTGGGTGCATCTGTTTGGTTTCAACCCTTATCCTACACTAGGGAGGACATATCAATACCTATAACTATCTCATGTTTTTGTCTGGATGCTTACCAAATTTTGAAGTGCCCAAGTTGTATAAAATCTACTATGATGTCCCTGATACTATTCAGTGAACTACACTGCTAAAGATTCATTATCAACAGTGATGATTGGCAACAGTGGGTTCACTAGGTTGCCGCAAGGCAGTAAGTTAGTTCCCCTCCAAAGCTATGTGTATAAATCCACACTAGTTAGAACTCTAACGGCTTCTCCCATTCAAGGAGTTAAAAGGCCATTAATTCAAGTCCTTGTAAGGTCATACGGATCAAAAGGCTATCTGACTAGATGCCAGTAAATGATTTACAAGGAAGGTAAAGGGGCAAAACTTTCCATTTTCTAAAGGAAAATCAAAGCAGCGCAAGTCGTTTGGTTCTCTTTGAGGGAAACCATCCTACTAGACTAGAAAACGGAATACAGAAACTATGGATCTCTGTGGACACATAAATAAAGTTGTATAAGGGAGTAAAAGCAATGTTCTTTAGAATCAACTAAAGCATACATTCCAAGATTGAGGAACTAAGTTTCTTCTTTACTAGGATTGCACACAGTTTCAAGGCAGAGTTGGGGTTTTCTTTTCCTGATCCCCAACAGAATATATGCAGACAATTTGATGACATTTGGGCATTACCTGTTGACTGCCCTTTATGATTCCCTCCATGGAGTTAATAAGTTTCATGCGACCATCAGTGCTAGTGATTGCATCTTGAAACTATACAAAGTTTACAAGCAAAATAAGTTGGTAATAATGACAATATAATAATAGCAGAAACAAGTGAAAAACATCCTGCATAAAATCAAATTATCGCAGAGAAATGAAGAAAAAGAAAAATGGTAGCATCCCATAAGAGGATATTGATGGCGAAATTTACAGCAGATTACCTGTGAATTTATTGAATTCAATAAAGATGTTTCCTTTAGCATCAATTCTTTGATCTCCAAAAGTGCATTATATGTGGCATAGAATTTACGAGTTTGTTGAAGTTTTCCCTGAATTTGAGCATTCAATTCTGAAAACCGCCGTTCATACCTGCAGAGCCAAGGTTGAGACAGTCGGTGTTTTTTCTTTTTCTATCATAAACGCAGAAAAAATAATCAAAGACCATACATAAAAAATGCCCCAAACTTCAAATCTCATACTTTAAGTTGCATTTGAAGTCTACCCAACTCATCTAAATCCTTCAAACTGGTTTTCGTTAGCAACCATCTAGAATCTAAGTCCTAAACAAGCCCACAATTTATAAACAGAGAAAAAAAGGAAGACATACTGGATGAGTTCTGATTGAGATGGAACATCATCAATCTGGCGCTGCACTGCCAGCACTGCCCTTGATCTAGCTGCAAGTTCCTATACATATTACTGTTTTCATCACCAAATAAAAAATATAAAAAATTCTAGCAACACCATGTTGCAGAAAATAATCATAATGTTGTGAGCAACAGCAAATTACCCTTTTAGCTGAATCAATTTTCTCCACTGATTCACTCAACGGACGATCCAATTCATCAGAGACAGTCTGGCCATCATACCCATTTGCTATTTGGTCCTCCAATCTACGAACCTCAGCATCCAATTCAGAATTACTAGAAGACTGGATTTCAAGCTCTTGCCTTTCCAGCTCCTGTAAAAACAGAATCAAATTTCAATCAATACCCGTCACCAAAAGACGACGACGCTTCGGGTATAAACAGAATCGCAAGGAAACTAGCGAACCTTCAGTGCCTGCCTCAGCGATATCAACTTGTGCACCGCAGCTTTAGCTCCTTCCTTATCGATTTTCTCTCTTAAACTCTGCAATTCATTCGTAACATTCGCTTTCCTCTCAATCTGAAATAAAAAATGAAAACCCACATTATTAATAAAAACAACAACTTTTTCTTTGCCTAGAAAATCAAGAGACTCCATTTTTGCTACAAATGGTCAATATTTTACTGACCAATTCATTCAGATTGTCTTCTGACATCGTTGATCTTACGAATTGTTAAGTTTCAGTAAAAACACAACAGTTTATAGAACGACGGCGTTTTGTAATTGGTCGGGCTTCGTTGCGAACAATATCGGATTGGGGATGAGTGAGTGAGGGAAGTTGACGGTTGAGGACGGCGATGAACCAGGCCGCTTAACGAACTCTTTTTTCTTTTTTCTTTGTCCCTCTAAACGACGAGGCATTTCGTGGGCTCGAGAAATTGGGCTTCTGGTGTTCTCGAGTGCATTAGATTTGGGCTTTGAGCTTAAGAGATTGTAAAGTATTGGATAAAGATTGCATGGTAACATCGGCCTGCAAATGGGATTTGTTGTTTTCAGCCTGCAAAATTTCTTTTTACATTGGTTTTTTTTTTAACTTCTCATTTGAGGTTAATATATATTTTTTAAATTAGGATTCAGTCAACTATGTTTGGTCACGAAACTATGAAGACGAGATAATTAGTTTTCAACAGGAAACAAATTAACATTGGCTTAGTAGCGCGAGCTTCTAAGGGCTCGTCTGAGAGCGATTCTGAATACGCCATAATCATTTTTGAGATGAAGTACATTTCACGTGCTTCTCCAAAAAATCAATTTTAGTAAGGAGGTTCTTCTCCATAATCACTCACAAACGAGCTCTACGAATGACATTAAAGTGATTGATCATTTAGGCTAAGCCTTGTTAGTCAGATGAGGCGGTGCTCTTGAGATGTTCACTACGGTGAAATCTCACAAAGTACAACCCCCACCCTCGGATTAGTAGGGGGCCCCAAACAAAAAGGGTGGGTAGCAAACACAAAACTCAGTTGGAATTTTGATTGGGTCAAACATGAAACATGTTAGCAAGTTTATGGTCTGAACCTAAAGCCCCTTTGATTCAAATCTCATAATGATACAATCTTTTAACGTGATTCATGAACAAAAACGAGTAGAGAGGGAAAATTAAGTTGAGTGTTAAAAACTCCAAGTCAAAGCAATTGAATTCTCAATATTTGAGGGCAAAGGTGCCAGGCATGCATGAGCTAAACTTGGACTTTTATCGTTTAAGTCATCTAAACCAAAGAAAAAATGAAAATGAAAAAAACCCAGTGTTTGTGGATTGGGGGGCAAAACCATGACATCTGGCTGGCCTAATGAAAGCTTTGGTTGACCAAATAAGACAAGAAGAAACAGCAAATACCGCACAAACCACGCCCACATTTGATGGAGTACATGTACAAATGTAATGTAATGAGGCAATTAAGGGTCAATCAAATCTGATCTTGTCATCATGATTTACGACTAAGCAATGCATGAGGGCAAACAACTTGAGCAAATAATACAGGCTAGCCTGGCTATCAGAGTACAAAGTACAAAACATGATGATGCATGATCTATATATACAGTCTTTTTTTAACGATCCAAATTATTTATTTTTTACATATTTATTTAGAGATTATATTTTAAAAAATTATGCAAATTGAAAATTATTAAGTCATCTAATTGAAACCAACAAAATCAATAAACACGATAATCAAAAAACTTACTTGAATTTCAATAATTTAATTAAGTGACCCAATAATATCGGATTCAAATGATTTTTTGTAGAAATGATCTTTGAATGAATATATACAAAATAAACTATTTGAATTAGTGAAATACAATATGAAATGGATTCTACAA